TACTTCAACGCGGTGGCACGTGCCACGTCTGCCGACGCGTTTTGTGCGGTAAATGCGTAGTGAACAAGAAGATCTCGGTCGGTATCGGCGCCGATGTCATGCAAAAGTCCATGCTCTTCTGTCTCGAGTGTCTGCTTGAAGCCAAACAGACCCCTGCTCATCAGGTTGCCGTGGACATGTTGAATTGGTAGCTAGATGTCCTAACAACAGGGCCGTCCTCCTTTATTGTAAATAAAAAAAAAACAGATGTGAGCCGGTCAGTTCCACTTTTAGCTCAACCTAGACGGCTTCTAACATTAGGCACATACTTCGTGACGAAGCGAGCAATGGGCAAGGGTGGCACGATCACGCCAATCTCCCCGACCGCTGACGGTATTCCTGCTTCCCGCAGACCGATCGTCGTGAGCTCTAAAGTGAGCAATATCCCTAAAAGATTTCAAGAGATAACGCGAAGATTAAGTCGTCGCCAGTTACTCGAGAATGACGTCGTGTCGATGAGCATTCGGGAGCTGCAACCGCTCAAGCTAGTGTCTTCTTGTTCCGTAACAATCAAGCACGCGCGACCAGCTGAAGCGTCTCGAGCTCGTGTTTCCGTCGGCATTTTTCTACTCTATTTGGCTCCTGCTATCACGTCTGCCCCACTTTTTGACGGATCTATTGATGCAGAACTAGTCACGGACGATATTGGCACTGTCGTGAAGAAGAATGCGTCGTTCGCTCCTGCTTATTTCTTAGAGACTGGGTTCTTAAATGCGTACGTCGAAGCTATGAACAACAACGCAACTGCAGTCTCGTGGTAACGTTACCCACAGAAGGAGAATAAACCCACAAGTTTCCTGAATTTTACGTTTCTAAACCAATCTACTTTCTCGAATGGAGCGTGCTCTATCTTGGACTCTAATGGACCGGAATGCATCCTAATGACGGGACATCAAGGTGGTGTGAGTGCCTATGGACTCTGTCGTAATGGCTCTGAGTTTGTGAGTGTACAGTACTGTATGTCCAAGTCTGGGTAACTCCAGCGGACATTGGAGGACTGGTGGCTTCAGGAACATGGGTAGAAAACGGTCGAGAAAGTGTTTTTGTTGGACTGAAAAAACCTCCAAGTTGTGTAAACGAGAATAAATTGCAGATCATTCCCGATCTTAGTGATATTCGAGGTATGTCAGGAGCGTTCATTGCCGCAATTAAAGGTCCGACGACTCAGTGGTTTGATTTTATGGACATGCCGACTTCAGTACGCGAGCGGATGTTCTACGTGGTATCCAAGCAAGGTACAGGCCAAGGACTCACGATTCCATCCAAAAAGAGGCAGAGTTTTGCCAGAATTATCGCATCAAATACCTGTGGATCGACACTGGCTGATAAACTGGAGATTGCTACACCTTATCAAGGCAGCAAGTACGTGAATGTTATTCTGTATCGGATTGCAGGAGCATCAATCACTCTACCCAGACTGCAATTTACGTTTGTAGTGGCTGCCCAAGCACTGGCATTATTGGTGTTTATGATCCTTGTCAATGCGCGCAATGGGGCATTAAATACGTATCATTTGATTCAGCAACTCTTACGGCTACCGACGTTCTGTATCATTGCCGTACAGCTCGTGTATGTGTTGTATTACCAAGTCTTTGACATCATGTACCTTCGTGGGAACAGTAACAGTGCACTTCGAGCTATCTACGACAAGAAAATCGTATACGTTGCCGGTGTGAGCTTCATTCTGCTGCATCAACTGGACGTGCGTGCTGCCGTTACTTTGTGGCCAAAAATGGCAAATAATGACGCCTACTATTTCTCTCGAATGGCGTGGATGGTTGGATCTTTATCCATCTTCTTGTGGAGTCTCACAAGAGGAGATCCGACGCACTATATGGTGGCTTCTTCGTCGTCTTGGCCACAGAATGCTAGCGAATGTAACGTTACTTTAAATGCCTTGATGCAACATTACGTGGGGTTGGTTATTTTCCTAGTGTACCCGATTGCTTACGGATGGTACAATATCGTCAATACCGGCATGAGTATGAGCCTGCTGATAAACGGGCACATGATCAAATGACGTCGTTCGAAGGCTACGGCTGCTGAGGCCCACTAGGCATGTACTACTACTACAACACGCTAATTACTCAGACAAGAGAAGACGGTACGCTCTTGTTCCTCACGTCCTCGAAGGCTGTAAGGGATGAAGGGTTTGTACTGCTAGGTGGGAGTGACGTCCTCATTCGAGCGAAAGATCTGTACATCATCATGGGCATGAAGTTGTTTACCGAGAAGATGGCTAGTACAATCAACTTGTCTGTCGTCTTGGCTCACATTGTGAACGGCCGCTTGACACCAATGCGTAGAGTAAGCTACATCGCGCTGTACCTCGTATCGAGACGCTGGAATGGTCGTATCTCGTACCCAGACATCAGCTGAAATCATGCAATTCCTGGTTTTTAAGCCAGAGTTTCTCCACTCGCAAACATATTTTCTTTTGTAGAAAGTATTGTCAATTCCTGCCGGAAGTGTCGGAGTCTTTCACATACCGTTACAACCACCTCAAGCCACTTGGAATCGTATTTAAGGCTGGGATACTAGCCAACCGGTTTGGAATTTCCGCTGATAAAATCGTAACAGGATGTGAAAATCCAGTTATTCTACAAATAAAGAAAATTGGTTTCACGTTGTACGTCTCGATATTTTGGAAATTACTGGA